CACACACACACACACACACACACACACACACACACACACACACACACACACACACTCTCATGTGTATGCTCCATATTCTGGAGCTGAGATCAAACTGCTAAACCGCTTTTAATGTTGAGACACATGAAAATAAAACGCACTGCTTCTTCTGTATCGGAGAGCCGGGGGTGGGAGGTGTGAGGTGTGAGGGTGGGGAGGAGGTGCGGGGGAGGAGGCAGAGTGGAGGAGGTGGTGATGGGGTTGATACCCTGAAGATGCAAAGGAATATACCGAGCATAGGACTCTAGCAATATGGACCAAAACCATTTATCTGTCCTTTTAGACTGAATGATGCTACACCATGAAAAACCAGTGTGATCGATCGGCTTCTTCGTATTTAAAACCCTTGACTGACTGTAAACACACAATTTCACAATAGCCAGGACATTTTGTTGGGAATTCCCACAGATGGGTAGTTAGCACCATAAGAATGCATGTGTAACATAAAATCTGATATCGTCCGAGTCAAAACCACAGTTTGAGCAAATAATGCTCCTGGCTGCAAAAGTCAAAACAAAAGTCAACAAATATCTAAATTGGATTTCACATCTTATCCAGGAATGAAGAAATAAACGAATGAACTGTAGCTGCAACAACATCTGTGTTCAATAATACACACAATAAAGTAGATATGAATACTATGCTCAGACAGAAAATACTTAAGTGTGATTCACTGCACTTTAATTACACCAGCTTAACACATTATACACTATGACACACACACCTATTCTGCACATATGGAGGCAACACACACACACACACACACACACACACACACACACACACACACACACACATCTGTGCTGGGCTGCTCGGAGCCTTCAGAAGTAGCTGTGGCTCCGTTTCACGTGCTGAGGTTGATGTAGCCATTTTGCTGTAACATTATAGCCGCAAAATCGTCCATTTATGTTTCCTCTCTTCCTCGGGGTAATTAGTCGGCCTTGAAGTGGCTTTCGCTGCGCCTTCCTTTTTTTACACACACTCGGGGAGGCTGACTGAGAGCATTCATTTAACCCATAATTATCAACCCCTCTGTATTTACCCCCCTCACCCCACCACACACACACACACACATTTGCACACACAAAAACTTACAAATAATTACCCGAGCTGGGACAGACGAGTGTGTACATGCACGTGTGGGACACACACGCACTTGCAAAAGCTCAAATAACACTTACGGCATCTTTGAATTGGAAACACGCAGCTCTGTTTTCAGTACAAAAGAAACCAAAGGAGTTACACATATGTTCAGGTGCGCGCTGGCACTCGCACACAAACACACACACACACATTGAGGAAAATGTGCTCAACCACCCTTTAATTTGAGTAGCTTTACCCACCCTTTCGCAGGCTGACATAAATCATCAGGGAATAAGTTTGTAGTACTAATCAATAGTAAATACAGGGTTTTTAACTGTGACAGGCTCAGCTTTGATTTATTTATTACTTAATAGTAAAATAAAATAAGGACTCATCAGCCAAGAGGAAACACTGGCTCTGACTCAAGGTCAATCGAAAGCTCTTGCTGAAGTGCATGATAAAACAGCCATGCCCACTTTCTGCGGTGGTCCGTCCTCTGCCGCATATCTGTAGTCACTGTTGGGTCTTAACGGAAATCTGGATTTAACATCGACGAACATCACTCTCAAGGAAGTTCTGACTGCCTGCATGGATGGTAAAAACTTTAGAGCAAAAGATCTCTGTTATTATGAGAACTGTAAAGAATTTATTTATTCTGAAACTGTGGTAGGACAAATTAAAATATGGCTGCTACAGTCTAGATAATTGATAGGAAACATTGCTTTGACATGGTGAGATAGGGCATTAGCCTCGGCGGAGGTAAGCACTCTACTGAGTGACATTGTAGTTCCTTAAGTTACTGTTGTTTTTCCAATGAAGCAGCTTCCAAGACGAGAGAAATAACTAGATTCTTTGTCTGTTGCTTTCAATATTTCACTTGAGCCCTTTTCGTCAAGCCTTGTATGTGCAGCTGCATTTTGAGATCACTGCACATACATTAATCATGTAAGCAGTGATACACATGAAGAAGCCCACTGTCAAACGCCAACTGCGGCAACTGAATAATAAATTGCCTGTTTGTTGATTACATCAAAGATATAATTACTTCAAAGATGTGATTACTTTAAAAATTCCAATTAGATTAACACCTTTTTAAGTGCGTCAGGAAATGTTGAATGTGGCCCTCAGTGTCTCTGTAGTCTCATTTCACTTGAAAGGCCTTTGATTTATCAGCATATTGTTGCAGCCTTTTATCTCCACTCTATTTGAACAGAAATCTGCTGCTGAATAAAAGAGTTAATGGGATCCCAGACATCACTTGTTTGTAACGATGCCCTCCACTTTGACCCTGACACACACACACATGCACTCGTATGTTTGCATTTCACATACACATGTGTGCAAAGAAACGCAACTGCATGCTTATGAGTGCACACACACACACCTTCATTTAGAAGACCTTATGCTGATAAGACAACTGTAATGTATTCTTTAGTTTTCAGATGACACACTAAGTAGATACATCTCTTTTCATATTTGAAGCGTAAATTAAAGCGCCCTCTCTTTTGTCACCCCCCCCTGAGTGCTTTTGAGTCTAATGTCTTTAATCTTAGATGTCACGGAGATGGCAGATAGAAAAAAAAACACAACCATCACACTCTTTCTTTCAGTCGTCCTTGCACTGGTGGGGCAGGGAGAAAAAATCTCCGGACAGTTGCTGCAAATTAATGGTGCATTCATTCACCTTGGCTCTCTGCGATCTTTTAAGTGGCTGCAACCAAACTGCTTTTGCAGGAAAGAGCCTTTTTCACAAAGAGATCAGAGCGTCACAACATCATGTTTAGTCATCAAATGAATCGGGGCAGCGACGACCTTCAAAGATAAATGCAAACAACAATTTACAAAGTGTTACAGTTGCTGAATCGAAAGATAGCTATCAATTAAGTATGTGCCATTTGAGCAATAAGAAAGTAGAGGTTCTTTTTAGGGGATTATTGCTTTTCTAGAAGCCAATAAAAGACCTTTACATTAAAATTCAACAGTTTGGAGGAAGAATTATTAGGTATCTCTTGTTTTAAGCTGTTTTTCCCCATTCTTCTACGTACTTTCTTTCACACTTTCAAGTTTCTGAAGTATTCGAGGACTCAATTCAAAGTGATAATGAATGCTACATTCAAATAGTGTAAATTAAGGATATTTATAGAAAAAGCTTTGATCTTTATTGATCTTAGGCATGATAAACGGTGTCTTTCACCAACTCTTTCAGTGGCCTGAACAAAAACATCACCCCCATCATGTGCGTTGTACATGTTCACTTATGTTCGGTACATGCACAACTGCTGCACCCCACCCAAAGCATCAGGTTGACCTGCGCTGACCGTCATGACCCCCTGCTACCCATCCCACCGCAGCACTCGAGTCTCGAACAGCGAGTAGGTCTCCCAATCTGGAAGTCATTGCCTTCTCCAGCGTCAGGAGCCCGAAATGAGAGCCTCTTAGTTGGAGGTTTGGGCAACATCAAAGCCCCGACAACCATAACAACGTAGCTATGTTTAAAAAAGGGCCAAACACCCACCCCCCACCGCCCCCAACAAGTCCGCCCACTCCCCAATTACCAACATGCACGCACACATACACACGACTGCTCATATGCCTGCGTCAACGCATGTATGCAAGAACACGCCCAGTGTCGTGCATGCAAACACACACACACAAACACATACATACAAATACACACTCTGGCGTCCACTGCTGCCACACACCACTGGAACATCTGGGCCGTGGCCATGATGAATCAGTAACCACTGGTTGTA